TCGCATTGCCGTGAGTTGGCGCATGGCCTGCCTTCTCTTGATGGAAGATCCATGAAACCACCTTGGTTTCCTGCTCAGGGCTCAATTTCTGCTTAGTACGAGCGCCCTTGCGATATGACTGCTTTGGGTCATCGTGGTGCCTTCGACCTTGCGAGAGAGGGTTGATTTTGGCACTCCATAGCGTTGGGAGGCCTTGCGAAGAGACAGTTCGTCATCGTTCACAGCGGCAATTGCCTCAGCGAGGTCTTTGGGAGTGTACGAAGGAGGCATTTCAACGTACTGAAGCCTATGATGCTTACAGAAAAAAAGAAAAAAAAAGAAAAAAGAACTTTTGCTAGATTGGAGGGGATAGGGGCACGGGAGCCGGGAGCCCTCAGTTCTAGGCCCGGGAGTGCTAACGTCCGACCCCCACCACGGCCCGTCCCGCTGCAGCGTACCTAATGAATTCTACACTGGAAGAAACAGCAAGAAAAGACGATTCGAATGCATTATTTACAGTATTTACAGCTTCATTCTTGATGGTGATGTGGGTGGGTGCAAGTGTGGCCTTTTGGTGTGGAAGCTGTCCCAACTTGGGGGCTGTCCCAACTTCATGCCCCCGCCGTTACGTTTGATGAAGTTCGCCGTCCAGTTCTTTCCGACGCGTCCAGCCCCATGCGCCGCCAACAATTGATTTGCCATATCTTCAATATAAGTATACCGGGGCGGAAATGCTCGGGCATCCAAGTCGATTATGAAGGAACAAATGGCATTCTCTTCAGAAACCGTAAGTTTCAAAGAATTAGGCATGCTATTACGTCGTAATGGTCGGCCGGCGATTCTTTTAGCCAGTGTAGAGATTGGTAGGTGGAAAGTTTTAGCAAGCTTTCGAACAGAAATACGAGGGTCTCGTTTTTTAGCTTGGACAGCTAGCTGCATGTCTGATTCGTTATAACGCGGTGCTATTGTCGTGGGTGGAGAAATACTGGTTGGAAGTTGAAGGTTTGGGAGGATTATAACAGTGTCCCACTCGCTTGTGTGTCCCGCTCGCTTGTAACCTTTGTTAACTTATATATAGTTATTAAAACGTTATTAAATAAAATAATTAGTATATATTAAGCTTCAACGCTTTAAAAGCGCTTTAAACAAGTCAATATATCGTATTTAACGAAAGTAGTTTATAATTTCAATAAGATAAGCACCATTATGCCTTTGTAGTAGCGGAACTAGAACGGAGATCTGTCACCAGTCTTAGTTAAGACGATTTGTATTCTAGTTGGTACTTAACTAACTTTAGACGGGAAGAGATGCCATCCGATAATTATCTAAATACCTAGAATACAGTGGGTTGGTACCTGTCACCTGGTGCAGCCATCACAGGTAACCTTATCGTAACACGTCCTGGATAACAGGAGATACAATAAGCTACTGGTGCCTGGACCGAGTGGCTGGGATCCACACGACTAGGAGGGATATCAAATATAAGAAGCTTAAGAAAGACTTACCGGTATCTAGAGCCTACATGTATATTCATTCTCTTGGGTGATATAGGGGCGTGTGCATTGTTATCACTGTTCTACACTTCTTGGTATTGAACGCTGTGTGACGAGTTGGATAAATGGTGGTTGCCATGATGTAACCAAAGGTAGTATGATAATCTGTTAAATACACCGCCTTCGCGACAGCCAACAGCCTTGCCTTCGAAGTTCAAGGCAACACATCACACCAATCCATACTTAGAATTAGCAGACACCCACATCCTTTGAACATCCGGGTGAAGGCCAGGTACCGTCCCCCCCATAGAAGTCGGACACCCCCACTAGTCGGACAGCCAAACCCCACCATCATCACCAAAACACCCCTTTATTCACTTACACGCTTTCAGCCCGATATTAAAGCTACTTAGAATGTAACTACTGCTCTAGATAGCCCTGACCTTGGGGTTTACTCCAATATAAAATTTACCCCGCCTAGCCTATGTGATTGGTCATCTATTACCCCGCATTTCCTACCTCGAATAGCAAATCTATGGCCCTGCAAGGCTCCCTTAAAGCCTTGTTCTATATGCAACGCAGCACCGTATAGCTGCCCAAAATGCCTCCCTATTCGTATACAGAGGATCAGATGGCAAATGCCATCTTAGATATCACGGATGAGGGCCTGTCTTTACGAAAAAGCGCTCAAAAACATGGCATCCCGCCCCAAACGCTGTCTGATCGACTTAACGGCAAGCCTACAAGGGCCGAAGCCCACACGCAGCAACAGAGACTCTCCCCTACTCAAGAAACCACTATAGTCGAATAGATTTTGCGTCAGGAGAAGCTAGGACTAGCCCCTTCGCACTCCCTAGTTTGTGAGATTGTCACAAAGTTATTGAAAAAGAAGGGAGATGAACGCCCTTTGGGAGACACCTTCATAGCGGGCTTCAAGTGCCGCAACCCTCAAATAAAGACCAAAATTGGCAAAAGGATGAAATCAGCGCGCTTTAAGGGGTTTATGCCCAAAGCAGTTAACTGGTTCTTCGAAATTCTTGAGGATTACGGTTGGGTAAAGCCAGAGAACATGTATAATGCCGATAAGGGCGGCATTATGGCGGGCTATGGTAGCTCTACTTACCCCTTTAATTCCAAAAAATTATAATCGTATTCACAGGTATCGACTCTCTTGTTCTGGGTAGTTCTGCTACCAAGAAATCCTTCCTGAAGACCCCCCAGAGCTGCAGTTGGACCTCCTTCATCGAGGCCATCTCAGCCACGGGAAAAATCCTCAAACCGGGCATTATCTTTAAAAGCAAGGACCTCCAAGTCCAATGGTTTATCGAGGAGTTCTGAAAAACCGCCGATTGGCATTTTATATGCTCAGAAACGGCTGGACCTCCAATGACATCGCCTGCCAGTGGTTTGAAGACGTGTTCATCCCACAGGTGGACGAGGTACGAGGAAAAGATCAGTATGAGGCTGTTCTTTTGATACTAGATGGCCATGGTAGCCACACCTCCGTACGTATATGATTTTTTCTTATTTTATTTAGACTTCCTTCAAATTTTTGGAATTAATCCGGGCTAACGCGTGGTAATAGGACAAATTCATGACCATGTGTTATTTCGCCAACATCTTGCTCTGTTTCTTCCCTGTCCACACCAGTCACGGCATGCAGCCCCTCGATAACGGGCCCTATAACGCCCTGAAGGCTTACTACCAGAAATTTCTCTCGCAGCTGAATTCCTTGACGGATGCCTCGCCTGTTAACAAGATCAATTTCATTCGGTGCTATAGCCAAGCAAGAACTTCTGCTTTTACTAAGATAAACATCCTCTCTGGATTCAGAACCACTGGATGTTATCCAATCAGTCGCAGGAAGTGCCTAGCACATCCAGAAATCCAGGAAGATAAGCAGAAGACCCCTGAGCCTGAGACCCCTGAAAGCTCTGAACCAGAGGACCAACGGACCCCTACTACAAGTCGGGAGATCATGGATTTCGGCAAAAATAAATCCCCTGGCACCCGCTTGAAATACAGGAAGATAGCCAACGCGTTCGAGACCAAGGAGACGGAAGTTGTCATCCAAGCCCGGAAGATCAAAGCCCTGGAGGCTGAACTGGAGCGGCTACGGCCCATAAGCGGCAAAAGATCCCTAATCCTAACAAGAAGTTTAAAACAGTAACAGAGATCTTGTCTAAGGAAGGTATTATTAGTCCTGAAACGCCTGCAGAGGTATAAGAAGAGATGATTGTTGAGTCAGAGGATAAAGAGGAAGATGAGGATGAAGCCCCTGAAGAGGCCGCTTTGGAGGCCATCCAGCAGCCTAGGTTGACACGTTCCGGCCGCGCAATACGGGCGCCCGCTAGATTGTACAATGAGCAGCTTCAGCGCTCTCGAATGATAATTTTGCTGAGTTTCTCTGATCTGAATGACTTCTTTTACATGTGTGTGAATAAAGGGGTGTTTTGGTGGTGATGGTGGGGTTTGGCTGTCCGACTAGTGGGGGTGTCCGACTTCTATGGGGGGGATGGTAGACAATGTGCGAATCGATGGTATGCTGTACCAAGTGGTATGTTTTTGAGTGTCGCTGATAGCAACAGGACTGATTCTCAACAGACCCCGTATGCTCTTTTGGATCTGACACAGGAGGCTGCATTGCGGTACAGGCAGGCTCGCCGCCAAGCCAGGATCCCATTGGGCCTGATGCATGGGCCTGTCGGTCCGAGCCGCTATCATCAACGATGAGCATCCTTTGGGCATCCTCAATCCCTCTTGCAGCTGGAGCCCAGCGACGAAGTATCTACTGACCACACCACTACCGAGACCCCACACGTCAAATGGCTATTCGCCTAGGTACACCTGACCACTCTCCTACCTGCTGTGACGCGTCAACTGCATGAAGTCGCGCGTATGCTCCGGACGGCGAGCTGATCGGACGCATGGCCCTTTTAGAAAAGAACTGTGCTTCACAGCACACCACTTCACTGAATTGGAGGCGGCGCAGCACAATTGTTGGTACTCACCACCAATGAGCTGCGAAACTACGCTGAACAATGTCACGTAATGGATGCAGCGGCTCGGCTGGGCTGGTCCAAGTTTTTAACAGGCCGACAGTCCGCATACAGCGGTATCTTGTACCGCCGTGGCTTGCCTCACAGCGACGCTGGCGTAGTGCAGGTGAAGGGCGGCACGGAATCCAGGACTTGAACGTTTCCCCGCCATGGTTCAATGAGGGGTTGCTGCAACATTGATCAGGCCACGAATAGAAGAAAGGCCCGCGCTGCTAACCTTGAGCAGAGGGCGGTCGGGTCGCTTCCTGTCCCTGATGCCGTGGATGCAGCAGGGTCGGTTTCGAGCTCTGCATTGACCAGAGCTGTTGCTGGACGGAAGCGGGTCACGCGATAGGGGCCTTATAGGTAACGGTCACGGTGTCATGTACACAGGAGGACGTAACTTTAGCGAAGGTTAGGTAAATCTAGGCTACAGAAACTGTGGCAAGAAAGCACACCACAGTCACGTAAAACGAACCTGTAGTGGTCGCTACATTGCGGTGGCAAAGCGCGCTACCAGTTCATGGAATCGAACGTCGAGGTCGAGAAAACAATCGCCGCGGGCCTGGCCCTGCCCCGAGCCCGATGTCCCATTGGCATCTGAGGTCGTACCTGCACCAGCCAGCGCTCGTATACGGCCCAGAATCTCATTAGCGTGCTGAACTTCCTTCAGAATGGCCTGCATTCTGAAGGCCGATTGCTCCTGAGCGTCCATGGAGAAGTCACCGAATCCAAGACCGGACGTTACGCCTGACAGACTCCTCTTCCGTTGCCGATCAGCTTCATCAGCGACAGTTGACAGACCAGCCCCTGACAAGTCCAAGATCTGGTACATGAGTGTGATGAAGAGCATTATGCATCGGATGTCTCGCGAGCTTTCTTGGACATGGACCAGGTGGTTCAGTCTTTCAAGCGTCTTCCTCACGATGCCCAGGATGATCTTGAAAGCCTTCAACTCAGTCATGATGAAGTTTTCAAGGTCACTGATGATTTGGCAACATTCAAGGCAGCATTGGCTATCGGATTCGTCTCTTGGTCGCAACCCCATCATCGATGGTAACTGTGGTGAGGAGAATGCCTCGCTGGGTTGTTCGGTTGGCGTCGGGATTGAGGGCTGGGTCATGAAAAACTCCTCCAAGCTGGGGTCGATGTCGGGCAAAGAATATTCTTCAGCCCCAGAAAAGGTCATGATAGGGCCAGGTGAAGCTGATAATCCTTGCGCGGTTGTATGGGAGGGTATATGTATACTGGCCAGTTCCTCGGAGAAATCTACCGACGAAGGGTCAAGGTCCCAATCTGTGCTCCAGTTCACATTCTCCTCATGATCGGGATCCGGGTACGTCAAATCGGTAGAAGTTGCAGCATGATTCGTCGATCGCTTCGACGAGATACTGGCCTGGTTCCGCGGCGATTGCTGTGAGTCGTTTCGATTAGGAGTATGCTTTCGTTTCGCCCGCACTCCAGGAACCTTGCCAACTCTTGACTCGGCGTATACACAACGTGTTCCCATGGAGCTGCATCGCTCGCATCCGGACTTCTCACCAGAGCATTTGACCTGGTATTGAGTGCTTAGTTCACAGTTCCGACTAAGCAGGGAAGACTGTTAGTAGAGACGGACCTTGGAGGCACAGCAGCTGTTGCAGGCACTTCGAAGCTTAACTGGACGCATGTTGTTTGAGCTGAGAGACCCTGGGCTACCGTACACATCAGCGGTAGGATCCAATATGCTCGTCGAGTGTAGCCTACCTTTGGGGAGATGGTAGCATGCTGGAAGAGACGCGACAGATCGTGTGACAGGACGATTGACTGGGCAACAGAGAGAGTGGATTCTTGCACCTGGTGGTGTCGCAATTCGGCTACAAAGGGCTGGAAGGAGGATGATGGTGGTCTGTCAGGGTGTAGAACCTCCGAAGAACAGAAATCACCCTGATCACGGCACCACAAAAGCAATATGAAGTGAGCAGCCCTGTCAGGCCTTAATCAATATGGCGTAGTTATGCAGGGGAGGCAGAGCCTTCGTCAGTGATCTTTGGTATCGAAGTAGAATTCGGGGGACACAGGTTCTGGGGCTTGGCTTGACAGCGGCAGGCTGAACAATCTTATACCCAGGGTCAAGACTACAAGCCAGAGCCGCATTACATACACCCCACGGGGCTCCTCCAAAACGGCCGCATGGCCCCTGAATTGCAATATAACCGCATGATTATGCAGACTCACGATGTAACCCGAGCTGTCAGGTTATTCCAACTGCATATTGTAATCCACGTCGAATGTCATGAGCGCAATTACATGCCTTATATGGAAGTGAGGTTCCAGAACGACGTGGAGGAACGAAGTGGGAGGAACGAAACGGCACCCATCTCCACTCTCTTCCTGTTGAGCTCTGCGCTTTAATTGGTGCGGAGGCTCTGAATCCCGCTCCGGCGTTAAGCTCTGTATGGCTAGGCTGCCTGTAGCTAAGGTAGTAAGGTAAGGTACCGTAGCGGGGCTGCGGGGTGGGGAATAATGATTGTTAAAGCTAATAATTATTATGTTAGATTTAAATATTTGTTTAGTTAAATAATAATTATCGGCAAAATTATTATTATTAATAAAACGTCCGTACGTATAAAGGGATCCGGGGGGCCCGTAATTTTAGTTTAAAATTACGTGCGCGTTTTATATAAGTTATAGTTAGTTTAAGTTATATTTTAAGTTAAGAAACGCGCAAAATTAAAAGAATAAGATTAATTAAGTTATAATAATAAGGTATATTTGTTCTTTACGCGTATAAAATCTTATGTTATTTTTATTTTTATTTTTATATATTATGGAAAGTTTATAATGTTTATAACGCATTTCCAATATAATTTATATAAAATTGTCACGGCGAGCTTACTGAGGAGCTGGGACAAGGCCGGCAGCAAGCAGCTATTACTCTATTGACGAGAATATCAAGACTAGAGAGGAAAGGAAGAGAGAGAAAGCTAGGTACAGCGGGAGGTTGTCCCTTTAAGGGGATCCTCCAGTCAAATCCTTCCCTGATTGGGAGGTATCGGCTTATCATGTGGGAAGTGTGACGGCCTGCACAGACCTTCCCACATGACAAGCGGACGAAGCGACAACGATTAGAACCTGATAACCACCAAGATGGCCGAGAAGTCAAAAGACCGTCACACAGCGACTATACGGTCGGCTGGGTGTGCGCGCTTCCTATCGAGATGGCAGCAGCAGCTATGCTGGATGAAACACACGAGGGTTTGCCCCCAATTCCTGGCGATATCAACACGTATAAGCTTGGCACCATAAATCAGCACAATGTTGTCATTGCGGTCTTGCCACACGATGGATACGGCACGAACAATGCAGCAGCCGTCGCGAGCAATATGGAGAGGAGCTTTCCTTCTCTTCGGGTACGTCTCATGGTCGGTATCGGTGGCGGAGCTCCTGGCCAAGTCGATGTCCTACTAGGCAACGTAGTGGTCAGCAATAGCGTTGTTCAGTACGATATTGGGAAGGTAGTGCGGGACGGGAAGTTCCAGCCGAAAGGAACCTCAACCAGACCTCCACCAGAACTGATGACCGCGGTTGCGAACTTACAAGCAACACACGAGACAAGACATGGTGGACTCCCTAGGATCCTTGCTGAAGACCTTGAACGGAATCCATCCATGCTGGGATTCGCCTCTCGTTGCCACTTGCAGGATTGGCTGTTTGAAAGTACCTATGAACATGTAGAGGGGCAAGACACATGCGTGCATTGCGATGCTTCGAGAATACAAGTTCGTCCAAATCGACCAGACACCTACCCTCGCATCCACCATGGAGTCGTTGCTTCTGCCAACCGAGTTATGAAACATGCGACAACCAGAGATGAAAAAGCCGAGCAATTCAATGCTATTTGTTTCGAGATGGAGGCGGCTGGATTGATGACCAACTTCCCCTGTCTAATCATCCGTGGAATTTGTGACTACTCGGATTCCCACAAGAACAAGCAGTGGCAACCTTATGCAGCAACGGCGGCAGCAGCCTATGCAAAGCAATTTCTTTCAGTTATATCTGTGAATAAGGTACTAGCAATAAGAACGCCCTCTCCCGTTGGTAAGCATGCCTCTTCGCCATATACGTCTTCCCGCCTGACATGTATATAGCCTAATCTTTGGTGCAAGATCACCAAAGGGTTATCTTAGAGGCACTTAAGTTTGAGCAAATCGATTCTCGACAGTCAAGTATTAAGGCCGCCCATACCAAAACATGTGAGTGGCTGTTGACGCACCCTACTTATCTGGATTGGACCGACCCGGGCCAATTCGCTCAACATCATGGCTTCTTGTGGATCAGCGGAAAGCCTGGGGCCGGAAAATCAACCTTGATAAAGTTCTCATACTTGCATACAAAGAAAAACACAAATAATGATGCTAACATCTCTTTCTTCTTCAATGCGAGAGGAGACAAGCTTGAAACATCAACGGCAGGAATGCAACGATCCCTTCTGGTTCAACTCGTGGGGAGGTTTTCGGATCTTTAAGTCGTGCTTAACGATCTGAAGGTCAGCCGTATCGGCAACATTGACGTGCTCCAGGACGCCTTCTCTTTGGCAATATCCAGGCTTGGTTAGCATCGTTTAACTTGCTTTAATAGATGCCCTCGATGAATGTGATCGGCACCAGCTCTATGACATGATCACCTACTTTGAAGGTATCGGAAAGTACGCTATTAGTCAGGGAATCAAATTTCTTGTCTATTTTTCTAGCCATTATTACCCCTATATTCACATTGAGAACGGCATCAAATTGACCCTCGAGGACCAGCCTGGCCATAGACACGATCTAGAGAAGTACGTGAGGAGCAAGCTACGAGTCGGGCCAAAGAAGCGCATCGAAGAGATTAGTGACAAGGTATTACAGAAAGTCTCTAGCGTGTTTATATGGGTGGTCTTAGTTGTGAATATCCTGAATAATAAGTTCAAACGAGGCCGTCTATTCGCGGTTAAGAAGAGGCTAAGAGAAATACCCCCTAAACTGAGCAACTTATTCAAGGATATCCTGACCCGAGATAGCCATAACCTGGCCGATCTATTACTATGCGTCCAATGGATACTCTTTACGATACGACCGCTTCGGCTTGAGGGGTTTTATTTTGCGGTCGTGTCTGGATTGGATGCCAGCAGCCTGTCAAAATAGGATCCTGAAGAAACCGCTGCAGATAATATGAATCGATTCGTACTAAGTTCTTCCAAGGGCCTTGCCGAAGTCAACAAGTCAAAAGCCAGAACTGTTCAATTCATTCACGAATCCGTCCGAGATTTTCTGCTCAAGAACAACGGTCTCCATGATCTATGGCCCGATCTTGGGGATAATTTCGAGAGTCTGTCCCACAATTGACTCAAGCAATGCTGCGAGGCCTATATCCAGCTGGACATATCTGGTCTTATACCTTCCGACCAAGAACTCCCAAAAGCATCTTCTGATAAAGCAAAAACTCTATGTGAACAACTATCAACCTCGTTTCCATTCTTGACATACACCATCCGTCACGTGCTTTACTACGCCAATACTGCCGGCACTCGACTGCCACAGGGAGATTTCCTAAAAGCGTTTGATCTTCCAAACTGGGTGACGCTCAGCAATGCACTCGCAAGGTATAATACCCACCGATATGATCCAGCTATCTACATACTGTACATCCTGACAGAAAACAACTTTTCAAGCCTGATAGCGACAAGCCTCGACCATAATCCAAAGACCCACATACAAGGGGGTCGATATAAATTTCCATTCTTTGCTGCCATGGTTAATGGCCATCGAGATGCTATAAAATCGCTATTACGGCAACATCACTATTGGCCAGATCAGAACGATGTTTCTGTACAACTCGAGTACGGACCAGAGCTTAAGGCTGTCACGGCTCAAACACCAGTTCATTGGGCACTCACGAATGGTCACCAAAACCTTGCTCGGCTTTTGAACATATCTAATAACTGCGACTCGGAGGCCAAAGACAACCACGGCCAGACGCCGCTATCGTTGGCCGCCAGGTATGGGCACGTGGATGTTGTCAAGCAGCTGCTCGAGAAGGGCGCCGACTATGAGGCCAAAGACAGTAACGATGGCCGGACGCCGCTGTCGTGGGCCGCCATGTACGGCCACGTAGATGTTGTCAAGCAGCTGGATAAGGGCGGCGAGTGCAAGACCAGAGACAAGGGCGGCCAGACGCCACTGTACAGGTCGTTGCAGACGGGCGCGGGAACGTCGTGACACTGTCAAAGTTCGATAGAGGTTCTTAAGGTAATTATTATTCTTTCTCAAGAAGACTTGCTGGTTTATAAGACCACTGATCTTCTCGTGTTAAGCTAAGTATCTAAACTTACTCGCCTATGTCAGTATTGTTTGCAATAATTCCCACATCACTATCATTACCATTAGTTTGCCAATGTGTCTGAAACCTCTTGCCGTTTTGTTTCATTCTGTGCAAAATAAAAGCGGACACCAGTTATGCCCCTCGATGGTCAACGCCTCCATCCATCCACCCAGCCATCCATCAGGGCATTTCACCTGCCATTAACAGCAATACGGGCACCGGGCAGTCCAACCAATGCGGGCAGTTGGCTCCATATCTCTAGAAACACGCAGCACACCGGGTAGTCCATCCAGGGCGAAAAGCACAGAGTCGGCGCCACGCGGCAAGAACAGGAAGCAGCACTTGGAATAGGTAGCATCGCCGGTCGCCAGACAGCGATAAGTTTTCATTGTTCCTCTGAATCTACCAGGTCCGACGCTCGAGACCGGCGAGGCAACATTTAACTCGTGTAGCCCAGCCCGCTTGATCTAGACGACGTGCTGCAGCAAGTGCTATGATAGTATCCAGGCCTTTAATCTGTTTTTTGACAGCCAAAAGTAACTTGACCAAAACCGTGGGACGAGCGTTGGTGTGGATGCCGTTACGAAACACAGCCGAAGCAACTTGAATGGCTCGTAAGGTGTCATCGACTGGGATACTCTCGCAATCGTGGACTCGTTTGTCCCAGCGGCCGACACGATGGTCGTTATCGAAGTACAAGAAGAGGGTATTGCTAACACTGCCTCCCGCAATCTCGATCTCGGCGGTAACGTTAAACGGAGGCGCAATGTCGAGCTTGGTGTACAGGTCGAAGGTTTGCAACTGCTGGGGGCTAGAATCCAATTAGTCCGGACTAGCTGTCAGCAGATGTCACGACGTACAAGAGAGCCTCCAATAAGAAACTAGTCTAGCGCTTTTTCTATTTCGCGCAGTCCACGTAGACAAAGTGGCCGGCAAGGACATGGTTCTTCACACATACAGAGCAGCGAGCCAATGCTACAAGCTTAACCTGCGCAACTCGGTAATTCGCAGAGCCCATGATGGAGTGTGGGCGGTATTGGATCGGTGTGAATGACAGCGCCGAATCGGTGCCGGTGGCGGTGTTGATTGTGCTGGTAGCTTGTCAGGGTGAAGTATGGGTGAAGGCGTGGAAGAAGTTGTACCTAAAAGTATCAAATAGATTGAAAAAGGAAAGATATACCTACTAGGCAGTATCTAGCCGAGGACTCTCGAGGTTACGAGACGGGCAATAGCACGCGCGAGAGTGGCGATACGCGAGAAGATAATTGCCCGCAACGCAAGTTGGATGAAGATGTAGCCGAGCATTATCGAGTTTGAGAATCAGTCCCACACTAGCTAACGCACAGATTAGATTAAGCATGGGCCCCAGACCATCTCGGTGTCGCCAGCTCCCTAAACGCCGCCCTATATCCCTACAGCTCACCGCCTGCTCTTTTCTCCTACCGCCTACCCATTTCGCCCACCGCCTGCTTGTTCTTCTTACCGCCTGCTCTCTTACTTACCGCTTGCTCAGCTCATTCACCGCCTAACTGTTTTGTTTACCGCCTACTGAATTTATCTACCCCTCACCCACCTGATTCCAAGGCGGTGTCCGAGTTAAGCAGGCGGTGTCTGATCCATTCAGGCGGTGTCCAATCAAGCAGGCGGTGTCCGAGTTAAGCAGGCGGTGTCTGAAACAGGCATGCGGTGCGCGGTATCTGGATTGAGCAGGCGTCTTGATCGGGTAGGCGGTGTTGGACGAGGCAGATCAGGTGGACCGAGCCATCAGCATATAGATACAAAACACAGGATTGACAAAGAACCTAACATACACATATCAGAATATATTTATAAAACCGTTCAGTATGTGTTGGATCCTGTTAGATGCAAGCGAGTCCAGATTATTCGGTTCGTCAAGTGTGTTTTGTTTTTTTTTGTTCCTCTTCTTCTGCTCTGCTTCTTCAGCGTACAGAAATTGATCATCTGTCTTCTTGGTGGGTCAGATGCCTTGTGCGTCTCTGCCCCACTGGAGATCTTCCGGTGTCTATTTCCGGCTCCCATTCAACAGATCCATGCGATTCCAGCTTGCAAACCATCTATACCAAGACCCACATGTATGATTAGATGAGAGATTAAATACCGGGTTGCGAGGTCACTTAGCTAGACCTTCAGGTCCAGCTAGACCTCCCAAACAAACCATCAGCAACATCATGACCTTGACCCCATACTCGAGTATTATGATTGATCGTTCAAGCCTGTTCCAACAGCTTTGATGTAAAGAGCCGCCCGGTAACGGGTAAGGAGTATATTATTATTATAAAATAAAGTACTTAAACTTTAAAGCGGGTTCAAGCTTAAAACCTTTTACTCATATACTTTAATATAATAACCGTTTGTAAATATATGCTATCTCCTTTAATGCGCCTTTACTTATTTACCTTACTCTTTTTACCTTACTTTTACCTTTCACCGATCTTATAATATTAAATTCTACTTTAATTTATCAATATTAACTTTTGTAAATTAAATAACTTTTCGCCGAAAATCTTCAAAAGCTAGATTAAGACAATAAGTTATATATTACCTCTATTTAACCGTTTATATTAACGTATTAAAACGTAGCTTTCAAAGCCGAATGCGTATATACTTACTTATACTTACCTATATTTTACCTTTTTTAACTTTATCATTGTAGCTTTTTTATCTTTAATATTGGTAAATCTTTTTATTTTTTATCATCGCTTATTACGTTATTCTATTATAAAGCCTATTAATTAAGGCAGCTTTTATTACCACGCGTTTTACACGTTATTTTATATCAATTGCTTTTATAATTAACGTTTTGAACCGATTAATTATTTTAACTAAGTGCGCTTAGCCGCTTATAATAGCTGCTATCGTTATTTTTTTTAACTTTGACCTTTTATCGTTATACGTTTTTATATAAAAAATACTTTATATAAAAAGGCCTTTTTGATATTTAATCTTACGTATTGATAAAACTCCGATTATTATAACTAATACAGCTTTAAATAGCGAATTAATGGTGATAACTATATAAGGGTTAAGCTTATAAAACACCGTTTATGACGTTAACTGGATCTTTTTAAGCTTCAAAAACAGCCGGTAAGCTTACGCTACCACCGCATTTTATATATTACTTTTAAAGATTAAGTTAATACGCCGCTCATAACAAGCTAGTAAAAAGCGAAATTAGAAATATAACTTCGACTTTTACGGTATTATACCGCTTTATATAAGCGAAATTCAAGTCGACGCCGAATAAAACTACTTATAATTGTTAATTAACCACCGTTTTGATTATTAACTTGATATATATCATTATAATATCGTTGTAATACCTAGCTTTATAAGTTACGCATTTAAGTTATAAAAGTATTTTAAAAATAAAATATTTAATTAGAAGATTACCTGCTTATAAATATACGTAATGTGTAAATACTGATTTATAACTATAATACAAAGCTATCAAAGAATAATGTTAAAAAGTCGATCGAAAATATACAGTTATTCATAAAAAACAAACACGATTTTAAACTAAAAATAAAATATATACGTTTAAGTATAAATCTACGATATAATACTTGTTTTAAGGTAAAATGTTTTTCGTTTTATTATTTTTATTAAAAATAGCTTAAATAGGCTTAACGTAGCTGACAAGCGAGTTGACATTACAAGCGAGTTGGCACTCGTCATGAACTCTCCAACTGCCATGTCAAATAACTTCACCACAACGCATTCAGTTCAATTCAATCAATCGGATTCCTCTTCCTCAGAGGTTTCTATCATTATTGTACAAGTTCGCGCATTATGGCCAGTATTGCCGCAAACGCCACACCGTCGCCCACGCGCTGCTGCTCGCCTCGGACGACGACTACCTTCACCCATTTCCTGTTTTGCCAGCTTAGTACCATCCTTTGCAGCCTGAAGATCTACTGCATCTTCAACAGAAAGTATTCCTCCTTTCACTAGACGTTTGTTTTTTGTTCTCCGGCGTTTACTTAGTAGGTGATTGGCCTCTTTTAGTTTGCGGACCCGGGAATCAACCAAAGCGACCTTATGCATAAGACCGTATGTAGCCTTTGAAAACGAGCTCAACGCATCAACTATTGATGTAGGTGAGCTTCCCTAGTGGTTTCTGACTCGGTTTCGGATATAAACCGATTGGTTTACCGCTTCGTTAATGGTGGTAGGCGTCTTCGAAGTCCAAGTAGTGGGTGGCAGATTGGGGTCTGGCGACGGTGTTCGTATGACAGTGACAGCATCCAGCTTTGAAATGACACTTTCTGGGTCAAAAGGAACAAGCCCAGTGGCACTGAAACCTGCTCGAATGTTTCCTGGCGTCATAGCAGCGTTGTGTGCTTCATAAAACGCTGCAAAGAAGTCCTCCTTCGAAACGTGGGTTATATGACGCCGGATGAGATCCTCAATCATGCGACCGTAAGCTCGTTTGAGCGGGCTAAAACAGCCGACATCTAGAGGCTAGAGCCTGTGTGACGAGTGGGCAGGCATGCAAAGGGTGATAATGCCGTTGTTCTGACAATAATCCTCAAAGACCTGGGAATGGTGGCTTTCGTGACCATCTAGGATGAGGAGGCGTTTACCGGCAGTCATACGCGGTCTGGTATACTTGTCGCAATGCTGAATCCATTCCAAACCAATCTCATTCGTGGTCCACTCGTTGTCGGACACGGCCACTTTCCAATCGCGTGGTAATATCGTGTCGCGATACCATAACGCGAGGTGGGTTTTGCCCTATAGAATGATAAACGGCGGGACCACCCAACCATCAGCATTAACAGCAGAGATTGCTGTAGACCATTCCCTGTTGCCTTGCTGAGCTTGTCTAGGCCTGCCACGTCTTTCGGCGCTTGTAACGACCATGCCGGACCCAATAATGCCCATCATAAACCCAGTCTTGTCGAAGTTGTAAATATCCGCGTCTTGGATACCATGTTTCGCGCCTGCCGCTGCAACTTGGCAAAACCACGCGCGATACGCGTCTGGATCCTCGTTCAAGACCCTCTGGTAGTCTATCTTCCGATGAAAACGCGTCCGGAGGCCTGGTGTACGTTTGATGAAGTTCCGCGTCCAGTTCTTTCCAACGCGTCTAGCCCCACGCGCTGCCAATAATTGATTCGCCATATCTTTAACATAACTGTACCGGGGCGGAAATGCTCGCGCATCCAGGTCGAGAATGAAGGAACAAATGGCATTCTCTTTGGAAACCATAAGTTTCAAAGTATTGGGTATGCTGTCGCGTCGTGATGGCATTCCTTTGACTCTATTGCTCAAAGTGGAACGAGGGACGTTGAAGAGTTTCGCAAGCTGAAATATAGGAATATGAGGGTCACGTCGTTTAGCTTGAACAGCTAGCTGCAAGTCTGATTCGTTATAACGCGGTGCCATTGTTGTTGGTGGAGATATAATGGTTTGAATCGTATTGGTTGGAAAGTTCAGGACGAGTGCCAACTCGCTTGTAATGTCAACTCGCTTGTCAGCTACGTTATTATCAAAAGAATAAACCGATTATTATAAGATGATCAATTGTCTATATACTTATAATTAAATACGACTATACGCTTGTTATTTCGTTTATATAAGTTAATTTTAAGCTAATCCGCGTATATTACAAATTACTCTTATTTAGTGTTCTAAAACTCGGGCATGAAAATAAGCAGCTATAAAGTCTTATTTATGAATAACTTAACTTTAAAAAGTATATTTTTATAAGGATATAATATATACGTATTTAAATTAGCTTATTTACGATTTTAAGCTGATTCAAGATTGTTTACAACAGAAAAAGAGTGGTCTTTTTACGCATTTGATTATTAAGATTTGTACGCATAACTTATAAACATTAAGTTTAAAATTAAATATATATAAGCGATTTTTTTCAAATATAAGTTTTCATTTAAAAACGCTTAGCTTTATAAAGTCAGTAACCGGTAAAAGGTTTACGTAAAACTTTTAAAACGAGCCTTAGTTTTATATATCGTAAGATATTATGATACA